GTATTCCCCAAGGCTGGCTACTTTTGACGTAGGGAAAATCCAGCATCAGGAAGAGTCCCAAAGTCATGACAGGCAAAGACCAATTTTTATTTATTTTATTCAATTACCAGGCTGCCTGAGTCCTTAAAGATTATGGAGAGCTTTCAATTAAAAGAGAAAAAAGCATATAGAGAAAAGAATAGTTGGGTTGTGGCCCAGATTTCCCAGTAGGTACCCTTAGCATCACAGAATCTATGCAATTCCAATATTAAATGTATATGAAATCAGGATGGTCCTTCTATAAGGTGTTAAAGGCCTGGATGTGCCCACAACCTTTTGGACCTGGAAGGTAAGCTATAGCTAGTGGTGTGTTTTGTTTGTTTGTTTTGGTGCCTTCAACTGAAGTCACTATTGACTCCTGGTGATTGCCTGGTCAAGTCCCTGGACTTTTCTTGGCCAGATTTCAGAAGTGGTTTGCTATTGCCTTCTTCCTAGAGTGGAAAGAGAATAAAGTCCAGCTGAATTTATGCTTAAGGCAGGGCTAGAACTCCCAGTCTCCTGATTTCCAGTCTGATGCCTTAATCATTACATCAAACTGACTTTCTATTGCTAGGCACAAATGAGAAAAACCTACTTTTGCAATAAAGAATAAAATGAATCTGTAAAATTCAACTTCCTTTCTTTAAAAGCATGTCAATATCTCTTAGATGTTTTTAAACTGAAAGAACAAACGGGAAAATAGCTTTTTAAAATCAGAAAATTTTTGTATGTTTGTCTCAACCACAAAAACACATATCCGTTTTATATATCAAAACTGTTATTTGTTATTTGACTTTTTAGAACATTACTTTATACTTCAGTCTGGAAATTATCCTATTGATTTACTGCTCAATAATTACTTTTTATTTTTTGAATTTGTTAGTCTTTTTAAAAATGTAAATTGGTATTCATCAACCCATCTGATGACAGTAAGGTCCACAGTTTAATAGTCTAGCATTCTGTTCCTCAGTGTTCAATTCAAATTTCTTTAAGAGGGGGTTTCAAGCAATACCGCAATGCTGCTTTTGTTCCTAAATAACTAATAATGTGCAGAACAGTCTGCAAAATTAAATTGTGACTAGTAATGTTAATAATCTTATCCTTCGTGGACAAATCTAACCCTTTAAAGCCATCCAGGTTAGAGATCGTTACCAGCATTCTAATCACCAGATTCTATAACATGCTTATTCAACTTTTTCTAAGGAAATAAAACTCCAAACATTGTAACCGTTTCTCACATCTTGAACTAATTTTATTTGCGACCGTTTTCTTAATGACCTCGACAAGGCAGATGCGTTTCTCATCGCCGGCGCATACAAGATCCCGTCCGCATCTTTGGGTTTCTTATTCCCGTGTGTTCCAAGAACAGAGTTCTGGGATCCAGAATAGATCCGGTCCCGCTCATGGCAAATGCCCCCTAAGCGAGCTCCCGACACACGAACAGGAGTCGGGAATCTCAGCAGCAGGTGAGTGGAGGCTGCAAGAAGGAAGCAAAGCAGGACGCTTGTTTTTTTTTAAAGTTAAAAGACGCTGCCGGGTATACCTGACGCTGCTCTGCGTTCAAGCCATTCACCGTATCGTCCACCGAGATCCCGGCGCAGCCTCGCCGCCAGACTGACAAGCCTCCAAGGAAGCAGCGTCGGAAGCAGCTGGCAGCGCGCTTCCTGACCAGTCCGGCAGCCGCCATCACGAACTCCGCAGCGACCTCCCACCCCGGCAGATCCTGGCAGCACTCCCACCGCTTTCTTGACCAATCAGCGAGAGGGGCGAGGCTTAACTGTCCACTGGGAACTCTCGAAATCAAGGGGAACAGCCAATCGACTGCAAGACAGTGCCGTGCCTCTCATACGTGTAAGAGCCGCTATGTCTTTGTTGCCTCGCCTGGACCGCCTAGAAGAGAAAGTCGCCGGGCTAATCCGCTTTCGCTGCCCAAAGGCTAAGGCGGACTTGGCGCCATCCTCTTCTATTCCGCTTTCAGCCTGATTCTTCTGCGAGGTTTCATCTATGCTTTTAAAGCAGTGTTTCTCAACCTTGACAATTTTAAGGCATGTGGACTTCAACTCCCAGAATTCCACAGCCAGCAATGCTGGCTGTGGAATTCTGGGAGTTGAAGTCCACATGCCTTAAAATTGTCAAGGTTGAGAAACACTGTTTTAAAGGCTCCATTCTCCCACTTTCCCCTTAGTTATATAGCAAAGAAAGCATTTTTTTCCTAGTATTTTTGTAACCCGTAGCACAAATCGCGCCTTAAAGTTTCAAAAACTGAAAAAGGGAAATTCGGAAAATAGGGAGCTTCTCAAGAACAGGGAAAGATAGATTTTAATTAGGAGCCCCTCCCCACTGGCAGCAGAATGGCATAACATTACATTCCTCTGCAGGTTTACTAAGAAAAACCCAATTTCACTTTGTTTGAAAGTCTTAGCATTTGTTTTCTAGAGATTACTTCGTTGATCCTTGGGCAAATTGTAGATACTTGATAAATATAATTGAAATTATATACGAGGTCTTAGGCAACCTAGATGACTTAAATAATTGGAGAGGTATCATACTTCCCTCAGTCCCTGGAAAAGAGCTATGTACTGTCCCACTTAAAAAATTCCAAAATAAGATCAAACAATATATGCATGAAGAACAAGCCAGAATCAGACAAGGTCATTCGTGCAATGAACAGATCTTTTCACTGCAAAATATCATTGAACAGAGTAAGGGGTACCAAAACCAGGTGACAATTAGTTATTGATTTTAAAAAAGCATCTGAATCTGTGTCAATAGAGAATCACTGTGGAATACCATCTATAACGGGTGTCAAAACTGCTGGCCCGCAGACCGGTTTCATCATACTGAAGCCACTCTCACCCCATTGTTGGCAATGCAAAGTCGCGATACGTCACATGTCACGGGGCGAATTTGACACCCGTGATCTATGGTATTCATGAGATACCAGTATGTTGAACCAATGGTGGTGCATTGGTTAGAATGCAGCACTGCACGCTACTTCTGCTGATTGCCAGCTGCCAGCAGTTCGATTCTCACCAGCTCAAGGTTGACTTAGCCTTCCATCCTTCCGAGATCGGTAAAATGAGGACCCAGATTGTTGGGGGCAACATGCTGACTCTGTAAACCGCTTAGAGAGGGCTGTAAAGTATTGTGAAGTGGTATATAAGTCTAAGTGCTATTGCTATGTTAATATATTTAGAAACTTTTACAACACTAGGTGCTGTGTAAAAACTGAAAACGGCAGTATTGACTTCTTTACAATTAATACAGGTGTAAGGGAGGGCTGTGTCCTATTCCTCTTTTTATTTCTGATTACCATGGACTGTACCATGAAAAAGGCAATTAATAAATTGGGACTTCAGCATTCCATGAAATAAACAAGGCAAATTGACTTAGATTTCACGGATGACATTGCTTTACTAGCAAACACTAAGACACAGCTGGCACTTGAAGCAGTGGCAAGTAAAGTGGGCTTAGCAATCAGTGAAGACCAAGCAAGTTGGCAATGTTCAGTACAACACCCCAATAACATTAGGACAGGCCTTAAAATTTGTGGAACAATTCAACTGTCTTGGTGATGTCATGGATACAGATGGGGGAACCAAAGCAGGTGTGAAATTTTGAATAGGCAAAACAGCTGCTGTCTTCCAACAAATGTGCTCAGTATGAACCACATCTATCAATATCAGATTACTTAATGCCATACCAATTGCCATCTGTGCGGGTCAGACCTGGAAATCTACGAGAATTATAAAATCAACATCTTTCAACAACATTGCCTCAAAAGGATTCTTCCTATCTCATATTGGGACCATGTCACAAATGAGGAAATTCTACAAATAAGTAATTCCTGAAAACTTTCTGAGATAGTGACAAAACGAAGAATGGGCTTTACTGGACATGGACTCCTCATGAGTGAGTAGCATCCAGCAAAGACTGCAATCAATTGGATACCACAAGATGGTCAGAGAAAACCAAAAAAAACCTGGCGCTAAACATATCAGGAAAAAAAATCAACCTTAAATGGAAGGATGCAGAATGTAACTGCACAGAGAACTGTGGAGTATGCTTCTAGCTAATGTGCTTAACAGAGGGTGTGATGATGATTATAGAAGATGGCAACAGTAATAATAAAACCTAATGAAGCTTAATAATAAAATACCTTTAAATCTGAAACAAAAACTGAAGATTGTGAAGTGTTCAAAAATCTTACATATTTCTAAAATATGCTGAGGTATTTCACCTACCCTAGCTGACTAGAAAGATTCTACAGAGTAAAAATACATTAGAAAGGAAATTAAAATACAATAATCAATGTTTTCTATACCTTCCTAGCGATTACAGGTCAAAAGTAATTAGAAGTAAAATTTAAACATAGTAAATTTTTATTGTCATTAACATCAAGAACTTACACAAAATGTCAACTAAAACATAAATACATCACCTATTGAGTCAAATTATACGACCACTCAGAATTTAATAGATTGTAATTATTATCCCTTGTTTGGAGCCATTGAGTACATTAAAATGGCCTACCAATGGAACAGCTTAAAGATTTTATAATATAGTAGTTATAGCTTGCTCCAGCTATTTTGGAAACAACTTCCACAATATTTTGTCATCATCCATATTAGCTAGGACTGATGGAAGCTGAAATTCAATCTGAAGAGCATTTGCCTGGACATGACATACTTAAAGCTCTTCAACCCCAATAAATAGGAGAATGAACATTTCTGCCTGTAAGTTAATATTTGGGGAACAGAAAACTGAAAGATTGAGAGATTAAGATAACAGAAAATATATCTCACCTACCTAGATTAGCTGCTTCCAAAGCCACAGGAAAAACAAGAAAAACAATATTCCTTATATTCCTCTGGTACATACAGTTTAGTATTAAGTTTTGTATCTTCTTACATGTCCAGCTATTCTGGAGAATATGAGTTATTGTTTAAATGATCCATAGTAAACTTAATCTCAATTTAAGTCTATGATGAGTTTAAGAAGTCAACTTCCTGGTTTAAGGCAGCAACCAGCTCTTCCATTTCTCCATGAAAAGACTGTTGTTCCTGTAAGAAGTGGGTCCTCTCCTCCTCTATCTGCTTCCATCTGGTCTGAGCATTCTGTAAAGAAAAACATATTTAAGTAGCAATGTCTATTTTATTACAATTGCATTTAATACATTTTACAGTTGTGAAAATTGAAATATGGGTAATACTCAACTTATGATCATAATTGGGATCAGAATTTTTGTTGCTAAGCAAGGGAATTGTTGTGTGCTATTTTATGACCTTTTTGCCACTGTTGTTAAGCTAATCACCTAGTTAAGGTAATGACAACGTTAAGCAAATCTGGCTGCCTCTATTGGCTTTGTCGGAATCTGGCTTGGATGGTTGCAGAGGGTAATCATGTGACCCCCAGCATGCTGCAACTATTCTAAATACTTGCTGATTGCCAATTGCCCAAATTCTGATCACATGGCTGTGGGAATGCTCCAATGGTTATAAGTACAAAGACTGGTTGAAAATCAGTTTTTTCAGCGCTGCTGTAACTTCGAAAAGTTATTAAACAAATGGTTGTAAGTAGAGGACCACCTGTACAGAAACTGAGTCACAATCTAGGACCTGGAGCAGACTTTATGTCATTTAGTTCAATTCCCTAGTTTGTGTATAAATCCACTGATCTAACCCCAACAAGGGTTATCCACTCCTTGCAAATATTCCAGGAAAGAAAATGGATGGGCCACATTCAGGGGTAGGCAACCTCGGCTCTTTTGACTCATGGACTTCAACTCCCAGAATTCCCGAGTCAGCACAGCTGACTCGGGAATTCTGGGAGTTGAAGTCCATGAGTCATAAAAGAGCCGAGGTTGCCTACCCCTGTTCTAGGCACACTGTTCTTTTGCTTAACAGCTGTTACTACCACAAAGTTCTTTCTAGTACAGGATTTAACTTGAATCTAGTTTAGTTTCAATGTGTAGGTTTTTCTTCTGTCCTTAGTTTCAACAGAATAGGTTTGTCCTTTCATACATGTGTCACTTAGATGCAAAACATCTGTCAGAAATTGCACAAAACAAAGTAAGAGGGTTTTTGGGAATTAATACATATATACAAATAAACAATTACCACACGCCAAAAGAAGATTCAGGTTTTTTTTCTACAGATATATAGAAGTTGTTAGCATAGGGTTAGAATAAAAGCATTAAAAATATTAAACACGGATGTTGTATGGTATTAATATACATGTATCTGAAGGGGAAGAGAGAAAAATATATCCTAGTTTTACCTGAAGATTTTCTTTTTCCTCTTTAGCCATTTGGATGAACAATTCAAGATCAGCATTAAGTTTGTCTGATAAAACCTGAAAGGCAAAGACATTAGAAATAGCAGTATTATCAACTTCTAATTCATAATTAAAAGTGAAACTTTAAGTTATTTTATACCCACGACTAGGTTTATAAACTAAATTCAGCAGCTTGCCGTAGAATAGAGAAGCCACCTCAGAAAAAAAACACTGGAAAAGGACACACTCAGAAAGCCATTCAACAACCTTTACACAGCCTTAACTCTGCACTCCCTCAGGCTACCATCCTCAGAAACAGTTGATAAGGCTACAGTTGCCTATTAGGTTAGTAGTTGTACCTTGTAATCTGTCCTTGCTTTAAAAAGTTAAAGCTTTTCCCCGTCCAGTCATGTCCAACTCTAAGGGGTGATGCTCATCTCCATTTCCTAGCTGAGGAAGCCAGCGTTGTCCAAAGCCTTCACTATATGCCGAGGTGCATAGAACGCTGTTACCTTCCTACCAAAGTGGTACTTATTTATCTACTTGCATTTGCATGCTTTGGAACTATTAGGTTGGTAACAAAACCTTAAGATTGCCTCAGATTGTAGTTCTCCTTGGGAATAGTAAACAGAATCACATTTTTACCGTTATCTCAGTTTGTGTCTTCTTGTTCATTTCTTCCTCCTCCAAAATTTGTTCACCTGTAACTAATTTTCAAATATTTTATTGTATTTCAAATATATAAGCTGTATTACTTCTCATTCAACTGAAAGCATAGAAGGCAAGCAACTTTGGAGTCATTCTGCTGCCTCCTTTGGTAAGAAATTCCAAAACATCTGTTTCCGAATAGTATCACATGAATCAGAATGATCTCATACAAAGGGATCATATTTCAGAGGCAGAATACATGCTCTGAGTGAAAAAAGCATTCAACCATCAAACCTTCAGTTAGGCAGCAAAAATGGGAAAGATTTTTGTCCTGGCCTAATCAGAATTACTGATTATCTAATAATTTATTCAGTGGTTGAACTTTAAAGTGGCTTAGTCCATACATTACAAAACAGTAGAATAAACATCTCTCTGCTTTGTACCATCTAGATTCTACTTTGTACCCCATAGTCTAGGCCAGGGGTAGGCAACCTTGGCTCTTTTATGACTCGTGGACTTCAACTCCCAGAATTCCTGAGCCAGCTATGGTATGCTGGCTCAGGAATTCTGGGAGTTGAAGTCCACGAGTCACAAAAGAGCCAAGGTTGCCTACCTCTGGTCTAGGCCAATGTTTCACAAACTTTCTGCACTAAATAAACAGCTGGAAAATGTGGGGATCACCCAATTAAATAATTAAATTTCCTCCATATGTTTGAATCTCTAAGATGATGGATGTTTTCAGCATATGAGATTATTACAGTTGCATTTCTATATGATTTCCCATCCTCTCCATTTTAAAGCATTTTAAACATATTAAAATTTAACCTAAACTTAAAAATGTATTAATCATTTGAATTGCTTTATGTATACAGGGCTATATATTACTGGCTACTTTTAGCACAATTCGTTGATTGAGAATGTTCAACAGATATCTTTAAATAGGGAGCCTCTCATATTAAAAAGACTGAGCAGGTGATTGACAGTTTAGAAGCAGATGCAGGCTATAGTGTTGAACAGGCTGTGTCAGATTATCTGGTGAAGTTCCCTAGAGCACCAGTGGTTCATGGATCACATTTTGGGAAACACTAGTCTAGGTAGTCTTAATTACATGAAGAGGGCCCTACCATCATAGGAGTTTTAGTCTTTTACTGGAGGAAAGATAGTGACAGAAATAATATTGTATATGATTATCTTGTTTGCAATAAGCACAGAATACTAAATGCTTTACCTGGGTCACAATTCCTGGCTTCTAATATCAAGAGGCAGCTTTCCTGAAATTTTTTCAGCTTATCATTTTCTTTTTCAAGACTATCACATAGCTCCTTCATCTCTTTCATCTCATTCTGCAGAGACCAAACCAAAAGGCAAATTAAGAAAACTACTTATTTCTATTAGCTCTTTAAGAAATAAATAAGGCACAAGAAAAGATGAAGAATTGTGCAATAGAACAACCCTTTTTATTTGGAGGGACATTATTTTCTTGTGGCTATTATAAATATCAGCAGTGATAAAAAGGTGATTTCTTAAGATTTAGAAAACGTGTTACACAAAGTAGGATTTCACTAATCTCACAAAACAGTAATTTAGTATTGGTGGCTGGATATGGCTCCATGGCTGAATTTCATTCCCTGCCCAGTGTTCCATCATTTCAAAAATGTAGGGGGAGAATGGAACTTTGGTATACCTTGAGACAATTCTTGTTTTGGTATGGCAGGACAGCAAACTTAGGGAATAGGTGTCACAGCACTGAAAAGGAAGGGTTGATTTGCCTCTCCTCTCCTATCTGGAAACCTCTCCTCCCTTATTTCATGAACTAGCTTGAAGTGCTAGGAAACATGGTGGAGTAATTAAGCACTGAAGGCAGATCCACGCTATGAAAATGCATGGATGCCTCCGCATCTTAATGGCAAGTACCAAATTCTCTTTTCTTCTGCTATGGGAAGATATCCAAATGGACACCAGGCAAAAATTGATGCCCTCCAAATATGTGGACTTTGGAAAATCATGGAATTGGTTTATATCTGTAGAGTGCTACATTTGTGGAACTGTGAAAAACAATCTTTTAAAAAATATATAGGCTAAAGAAAGAAAAAATAGCCCATAGACTATTCCCTCCACTTTTAATTCTTTTTCTGGACTAAGCAAAAGCAGGAAGGAACTGAAAATGGGTCTATAGAGGGAAATACTAGAGAATAAAGTTACATAGATTTTCTCTTCTAAGAAGACAATCCACAGACAAATATTTTCTACACCAAACAGAAGAAAAAGACTTTAATCCTCTATGAAATGATATATTGTGAAATGATATAAAACCCTTAAAGTAGTTCCAGTGTGTCATTCTTGTACAACCTGCACAGTCCTCATTAGTCCAAAGATGAAAATAAAAAAGCAGAGGAAAGACTGGGCTTACACATTCAAAAAGTTAATTAGAATGAGAAAATTATAGGAACTGCCCATATTCTACCTGGTTCATCGCATAATAACAAAAGCCAAGTTTGCTTCCTACCTGCATTTCTTCCACTTTTAAACTCAATTCACTCTTGTCATTCTCCAGGAACTTGTTTTTGTTTCTGAGTTCGGTCTCCCGTTTGTATCTATTCATAGGGCTACTGAATCAAACGTATTAGTGATTAATCATAGATGGCAATTTTGCTTGCATTTAATAACAGATCAAGAACACTCATTATTTTGCAGATGGAAAAGAGGAATATAGAGAAATTATTTAAATTTAAGATATTCACCACATAATGCCTTCATCCAGAAGCACTACTACTGAAGCACTACTACTTGATCAGCCTATATCAGTATCTAAATATTCACTTATGTACAAGGCTTATTACTGTAGGCTGCTCCAATCAGCCAACTTTGAGCAATGTCTGGAAACTGTAATGTACATCCACACTAATAATGAAAATCTACATGGTACAAACTCCACAATACAATCTAATCTAACTAAATATTTACACTGTGTGATATTTTCATAATATATTTTGTCCTGCAATTATTGTACATAGCGAATGCTGCACTTACGGCAGTTTGTTTTTTTCAAAATAAAATACAATTTAAGTGAAATACATTCTTGTAAAGAATTAGAGGCTTATAAAACATGTCAGAGTCCAAAGTTTGGGCTCTAGAGTATTCTTACTCAGTCATGCTTTTATAATCTTGCTGAAACTGTTCTATTCTCGAAACAGATTGTTCCAATTTTTATCAGAATAGTTTGTTTTGAAGTTGAAATAAGGCTGTAACAATATTTTCAAATTTGAAGAGGACATTAGAAATTTGGAATATTTAAAACATGTTTTATAAACCATTCTAAGGCATTCTGCCACAAAGTAGGAGGGGGGGGAAGGAGGACATTTTGCTTGCAAGTACTCACGATCGTGTAGGTATTGGCAATCCTTTCCTTGAAGGGGGTGGCAGTGCAACTTTTTTCACTGACTTCATGAGTCTTAATATGAGAGGAACAAATAGATATTGCAACAAGTTACGGATTTTAAATCTAAACATTTCAATACAACAAACATGAAGAACAAGAAAGAGAGCAAAGCATTCTGATTAGGGATCTTAATTTTAGCCTCCCTGACATATTAGGTCAAATTTCTTTTTTGGTGGGAGGGAAGAAGAGAAATTGCAAATTCTCTCTTTTAAAAAGAAAGGTATATGGAACTGGTGGTATATGGCAGTGATGGTGAACCTTTTAGAGACCGAGTGCCCAAACTGCAACCCAAAACCCACTTATGCGTCGTCGAGTGCCGGGTGAATGTGTCCCATTGGGTGGGCATGCCCATTGGCTGGGTGTGTCCCATTGGGTGGGCGTGCCCATTGGCTGGGTGTGGCCCATTGGGTGGGCGTGGCTGTAGTGGTAACGACAGACTGGGTGGGACTAAAAAGTTCAATCAATCAATTCCAACTTTGCAAGATCTTTTTTTTTCCCACGAGAAGTTGAAATGGACTGATTGAACCTTTTTTTTTTTTGCACACGGTGGCGGAGGCCTAAAGCGAAAAGGTTTTATAAAACCCAGCTAAAGGCCTAGGACTGGGTCGACAGCACGCGTGCCCACAGAGAGGGCTCTGAGTGCCGCCTCTGGCACCCGTGCCATAGGTTCGCCACCACTGGTATATGGAATGGAGTTGCCAAAAGAATAGATATTTTGGCAATCATAGCAAAAGTATATATACCTTTGATTTGGGTCTTTGAAGGCAACACATGCGGTAGGATTGTTTGCACCACACGTAAAAACAGGATCTTTCTGGGGCTTTGAGCCCATCTCTTTGTTACGGCTTTGCTGCTTTGAATAATCACAGAGCTGCACCTCTGCAAATAAGGCAAATTTGGGAAAATAGTTAATGGAAATTCCTGCCCTCAGGTTAACATTAAGGAGAAAAAGCTGAGGATGAGACCTAAACCAAGAGGGTAATTTTATAACACCTTAAGAGTGAAATGAAATTTGGAAGTGAAAGGAAAAAGTTGCAAGATTTAGCAATAACAGGAATAATGTGATGGCAGAGGAATAAAATAAGTTTGATATTATTGTATCTTTCATCCTGAAGTCCTGTACTCTTTCTTAATTTGTGCAGAACTTTGTATAAGGCAAAAGAGCAGAAAAATCTATTGCTTTGTCTCTTCTTTAAATCTCTGTATGAGCAAGACATTATTTCTTCATCAAGTCCACTTGCAAAAGCTTGATTTGATTTCTGATTTTCAACCAACACAGCTTCTTGTTCTTATAGTTCACCAAATTTGAATTTCCAACCTTTTCTCTAAAATGCAAAAACCAAAACTGATTACTGACCCAGAATATATGCACAAAACCTGATGCCATCCTGATGTTTCAAATAGTATTTTCAAAAAAATCTAGCTAGCTTGACAAACAATATAAATAAATATAAGGTTTGCAGCCCAAAACATTTGATGATAACAGAATACTATCTTGATATAAAATTCCACTCTTAACTGACCAGGCATTACCTCAAAGGATGAGTGGGGTTTAAGTACATAGTTCTAGCTATAAGTTTGATAAATTCTAATTCACATCAGGCTGATCTAAGATTAGCAACCACAGTTAAGAAAAGCATTTGAAGTTGTCTTTGCAAAGATTCTGCAACACAGGGAGAAATAAGATAATTGCTCTCTAATTATAGGGTAACACATTAACAGACTTTTTAGAATGCCAGTTGTTTTGGACTGTTGGGAAATATATACATGGATCTTATATTTGTCTGTCTCCATATTTAAAGTTTAAAAGATATAAAGTGCTGCAGATCAACAGTTCCTACAATAGCAGAATATGCATGAAGCCAAGCCTGATAAAAGTTCATTAGGCACAATATCCTTGTAAAGGCAGAGGGAGAACAGCAATTCTAAAGTTTTGCTTTTCTGTATTATTAGAAAGTTCATATACTGTACTGCAGGAAACTGCAATATATTTTGCTCGTTTGGGCTTGGCATATGGTGTGAAACTAATCTTTACAGTTTGCACTATGCATAGCAGTTTACTCAAGGTTTCTGATTTAGTGTGCTATTTAAACTCCAAGTTGCCATCATTTTGAGTTTCTGTAAGCTTAGTTTTACAATTAAAACAGTATATAAAGCCCACTTTCCAGAAACTGGATATAGAATTTGTTTTGGTTCAAGACAGAAAAATACACTAAAAAAACAGTTAACTAATAGTATGCAACAGGAGGAGGATGGTAAAGCTAGCTGTTAATTAAATTGTAAGATAAGTAATGAGCATTGCAAACAACCATTATTTTAATTTTTTTTATTTTCTACAACAGCAGTCTATTCTGTTTGGGAACAAAATAAGTATTTCTCACAACCTTTAAAGTAATTTGCAATAATTTTATTTAGGTCATTAATCCTTTTCTCTGCAAATTTCACTTTAATCAAAAATAGCCATGTTCATGTTGCACACTGAATCATGTTTACTTACTTATACCTTTATGAATGAACGATCAATGTATAAACTGCATTAGAGGTATACACAAGGCAATTGCATACTGATGCAATGTGTTGTGTAATCTATGTTTAGAAATGCATCCCAATTTCATGGGATTTTAAGTTCATTTGATTTCATTTCATAGAAAGGAATGGAAAATAAGATTTTTCTAAAGTGTATTGAAATTTCACATTCTATGAGTTTAAAAAAAAACACTTTTATAGACCAAGCAAAGATATCAAGGACCAGTGTGATATACTGTGCTGTCTTTTCTTATGCTAGCAACTTCAGAGCTTGGCTATTTTGTTGCAGACTTTCATTATCCAAATTTGGTAACGTCACCAGTGCTAGACTGATGTTACCTAGTTTGGATAATGAAACGTCTGCAAGAAAACAACCAAGCTCAGAGAGCACCAAGGACCCCTTATTTCAACCCTGAGCCACAAGTATACTCCTTTATTCCTAGCAACTTTATACTATAACCTTTAAACGTTCTAAACTTTTTTTTCTTGAACGGCCCTCGATAAAAGCACATTGTGATCCTTTGGTCTCAAAGCGATGAATCATAGTCAGGAACCCATGTGACATTAACAGTTGCTGGCGAAAATTGTTTAATTTCAAATAAAGGCTTTCAGCAGAAAGCCTTCCAACCACATGTGCATACAACACAACGTGCGCGCACCATCATTCAGGCGAGACCCAAATTTGATCCCCGAAACGTCTAACCTGTGACAAACGACTCTCAGAGAAGCTCCCAGCGTAGCTACCAAAGGCTGCTTCTACAACAGCGTCCCGCCGCCATTTGAATCGTAAAGGGCGTTTTCCAATCGACCTAACGCGACAGCTAGAAGCCCAGGAAAGTCTCCCGCGCGCATGCGCCGAATAACTAAACGTCCAGTCCCGAGATGGGGAAAACTTAAGCGCATGAACTGAATGAAGAAAAAAAAGAAAGAAACTCCCGTAGGTGTTATATAGAAGAAGCTGGCCTGCATCATTTTACAGGGTGGGCTTAATTTAGAGTGGGAGTGGATCATTTGATTCCTTTGCTTTTCTGCAAACAAAAAAAATTGTTCTGAAACAGCTTTTAATGGGACATTAGAGCGGTTGTGGACTTCAACTCCCAGAATTCCCCAGCCAGCACATGCTGGCTGGGGACTTCTGGGAGTTGAAGTCCACAAATCTTAAAAGTTGCCAAGTTTGGAGGCCCCTGCTTTAAAACAAACTGCAGCAGCGCAGCGTTCCCATATGTGATGAACTGCATGGATCTTTACCTGTTGGATGGGCTGCTTTAGGGACCTTTTAGAAACCGAAATTGCACATGCAATAGAATTAGCGATGGGAGGAGCCTTGCCGAACTTTGGTCTGTTGAACGGTAAATGACCCCTAGCTAATTTGCTCAGGATTGAATTAGGCTCTTATTTTACAGTGAAGTAAATAAAAATATAAGGAAGAAAAGTAGTAGAAAGCTCAGTGCGTATTTTGAAAATATTAAAATACTTGGTATGGACCTAATGTTTGTGTTGTTGGGGAAAAAACTGTTAAATATTAAATAATCAGCTGAATGGTACTTGCAGGCCAGAGTTTGAGAATCTCCCATTCTAACTCTTATTTAAATATGCAAACACATTTCAATCCATTTATGAACATCTTAAAATGCATGATCCCAATACTGATCCATGGATTGTTCCAACTGGCTCATTTCTCCAGTGTAAAATCTAACATTTACTCCTATTCTGTGTTCTTTAACCCAGTTACAATTCATGTCAGCATCTATCCTTTTATCTTGTGTCTCCAGTATTTGCTAACAACATTTACATGAACGATTTTTTAAAATCCAGCTACTATATACACTAGAACTTTCTGTAAAGTCTGAGTGTATCTCTTCAGGTATGTTTTTCTGGCTCCTGGTTTTTCTCTGGCTATTAATATATCTTTCTCTTCATCATGTTTGACATCTATCAGAGGTTACTTGTGAAGGCTAGATAAGATGTCTTCAATTCCTCTTCTTCATCGTTAGCACACTTCTCCAGAATGTGACCTCTCTGCTTAAGGAGATTTCAAACTTCCAAGAAATTTTAAGGACCAGCCACTTGGAAATCCTGTTTCTTTTGTTAATACTTTGAAAATTCATGCTCTTTCCTTTTTTCTTCTGACTCTTGTTCTTTTTTTTTTTTTGCCCATTACAAGTATTAAAATCTGTTATCTAAAAGATTGGTTGCCAGTTGGTGCAGTATCTTTGTTGTGTTATGTCATTAATACATAAATTCGTAGAGGTGACTGTCAACTATCAATTAGTAACCCTAACTGTGACCCATTTGTTGGGGGGAAAAGTGTGAGACAGTGTAAAATAAGTAGACATAATTGATTGGTGTATGAATTTCACTGGCATGCAGAAAAAGAAGAGCTGTTCTTATTTGATGTACTTGTACCAATTGTTTAAGTGAGTAAACAGCTGATGAGTTATTTTCTGCCATCAAGTCAAGATGATGCTTCATATAGCAGTGTAATTTCTCCCTGTACTATCAGTTACAATAGAATTGTTGGAGGAACTCAGCTTTCAAAGAACAGGTAAGCTGCAGTCTTCTCTAACTAGTATAACTGCCCAGGTTTTACTTCATATCTCCAATCAACCTAAGAACATATTGAGTAATACTAGCATCTAATTACAATATTACAGTTGCTGGTTCCATAAGATTTGCCTTGTGTATTATAATTAAAGTTTCGTTTCAAGTTTTGAATCTGATGGCAGCAGAAACTAAATCAGCCTCAATCCAGTTCCATGGTTTTTTTTTCAATACTGTAAATAGAGATCACGTGGGATTTCTTAGAGAATAAGAAGGCTGCTGATCATTACTTTATTTGAAATGAGCCAGTATATCCACATACATGCACACATTAAGAGCATCATGCAAGAGTGGACGAGATGTATGGAATAACTCATCAATTTGCATTCTCTTAAAGCTTGTTCTGTGGTTGGTCAGCCTTGCAGTGATCACACAAGCCTTATCCCTACAACCATGTGTGGCATATGTCATCTGCATGCTCTCAACATTCTAAATATCAGTCTTCCATTTATTCAGTCATACCCGTGTTTTACAGATTTTCTAGATTAGTTCCCTCTATTCTTTCCAGGGTTTTACAACTTTATTTAATATTTCTGGATTTTAACCAGAATCTTGCCTGATGTATCTATTCAGTATGTTCTTTGCTGATCTCATTTTCTAATACCTGTAACCATTCCTAGAATAACTGATTTTTTTGAAGATTTTTATTGCATAACAAGAGCAAAGTAAGATAGCCATAACCAGTGCTTTTTTTGTAAGAAAAAAGGTGCCGGAACTCAGCCCCCCCTTTATTTTATATAGTAAATGTTTTTTTTATTAGGGAAAGAATAACTCTAGTGGGGGTCTTTTCCATCAATTTCTTTGCAATTCTCATTCTCTGGATTACATTGAATCTGCCAATATTTCTGTTGCATCTTTGCTTTCAGTTTGGGCACTGAAATCATACATACATTTGTTGTTGTTGTTGTTAGTTGTGAAGTCGTGTCCGACCCATCGCGACGCCATGGACAACGTTCCTCTAGGTCTTCCTGTCCTCTACCATCTTCTGGAGTCCATTTAAGCTCACGCCTACTGCTTCAGTGACTCCATCCAGCCACCTCATTCTCTGTTGTCCCCTTCTTCTATTGCCCTCAATCCTTCCCAGCATCAGGCTCTTCTCCAGTGAGTCCTTCCTTCTCATTAGGTGGCCAAAGTATTTGAGTTTCAACTTCAGGATTTGGCCTTCTAAAGAGCAGTCGGGGTTGACTGCTAGGACTGACCGGTTTGAATGCCTTGCAGTCCAAGGGACTCGCAGGAGTCTTCTCCAGCACCATAGTTCAAAGGCCTCAATTCTTTGACACTCAGCCTTTCTTATGGTCCAACTTTCACAGCCATACATTGCAACTGGGAAAACCATGGCCTTGACTAAACGCACTTTTGTTGGCAGGGTGATGTCTCTGCTTTTTAGTATGATGTGTAGATTTGCCATAGCAAGCATCTTTTAATTTCTTGGCTGCAGTCCCCATCTGCGATGATCCTGGAGCCCAGGAAAATAAAATCTGTCACAACCACCATTTCTTCCCCATCTATTTGCCAGGAATTGAGAGGGCTTCTTTTTCACATTTGTTGAATGTGAATGTTCTTGAACGTTTCTTCTTCAGATGCATCTGTAGTTAGTGCATACATTTGTGAAATTGTGACATTCAGAAGCATAGCTTGCATGTAAATAGCCATTGTTCCATCATGTAGTGGTATGCAGATTTCAGCTGAATTGGTGATGTTCTTGTTTTTTTATTAGTGCTCCTCTATTCTTTCTGATGTTTTAATTTATAGAATAGCACACTATACATTCATCTGACTAGTAGTTGTCATTTGCAATTCAGTTGCTCTTACTGGTGCTGTGAATGCCGCTTTTAGTTATTGTTATTTCTTTTTTGGTGATACTTAGCTTCCTGGGAGTCATGCTTTGTATGCTCTATGTACCTAGTCTTGTTTATTTTCTTCTATCCTAGACAGGTCTTTTTGTCATAAGTTTTATCAGCATTCAGGCTCCTGAAGGGGCTTTCCCCTTCTACACCATCATTTCTTATACTACATGTAGCACCTTGCTGTTTTTTCCCAGTGTCAACCTTCTTGCCTGGTGGGGTTTCACTTTCTACTACTGACTTTGAACATATTTTTTTAATGGTGAAAGTATTCATTCTAACATGGGTTAATGTAGGACATGGATAGGCAAAGGAATGCTTAAGGTTTAAGGATTATGTAAAATTCCAAGTGGAGGATCATATATCCGTGCACACATGCCTACACCATATATCCTAGGGCTTTGGGCTGTGAATCTTATATCTTTATAAATCAGATGGAGTTTTGCATAGAAATGAAAATAACACTTTGTTGTTTTGTTTTGCTGTTGAGGCCATTTGTTCCACATCATTGGGACTGATTTCTAATATTTATGAGGATTGCATCTTATTGCTATAATCCTGAACCTCTTTACTGTATATGGGCAATAACTCCAACAAGTTGAAAGAACCATGTATAGATTGCACACTGTGCTATAATTATATAAATTTAAATAAATATAAATTGCAATTGCAATGCTAGTGATGTTATAATACAATTCTCACAAGATTCTTCTCTGAGTAGGCATCGAGAAAGATAGTCTAAAAGTAACTCAAATTAGTTTTATTTAGCTCATACTGAACAAAATTATTTTGTCAATACATTATGTTGCATACAGTTAAAGGGAGACTAACATCCACCCACCCCAATATAACCATGATACATTCTTAGGAAGGAGAACAGTCTAAATAAAAGGTGTGTAGGATGTGGAAGAGATGTGATACAATTTTTACTAGATCTATACATGTCTGCTAAATATTATTTAAGTAGTGAGGGAGGGACTTGTGTAATAGAAGTGAAAATGCAGAGAATCTAAGGGGTCCAAAGCTTTTTGCATATAAAAAGTACTGTAAATCACAGTATTCATTGTAAAAGAAAACTTTAAGAAAAAAGGTTTATTTTTTATGCTAGGATATTATTACAGCTAGATGCAAGATAAATCATAAAAAGATGGAAAAGAGTGTGACATTGCAAGGTGGAAAGAAAGCAAATGTCTGTTAGTTTCACAGAATACGAGGCTAAAATTATAGATACAGTTCTGAACAAAAATAATTAGTTGAAAACCGATAGCTTTGAATGAAATACACCTAGCATGAACATTAATACAAATCAAAAGGTGTACTATATTTGATGAAAGACAAAATACTCCTATCAGAAAATAAAAAATAT